TCTATTTCTAAGTATTTCATAATGAGTTATGTTTCTATATGACCTGACCAACTCTTCTAAACATCGAAATTCCCCAAGTAATTGATGTAAAGTTCTTGCCAAAGGATGGTTTTGTCTATAAAAAGTAAATCGAGCCAGTTGACGTCGAATATTTCTATTGGTTTTCCTCATACTTCTTAGAGTTCTTTCTTGAACACGTAAATCATACTCTAGTTCTATACACCGTTCACATAAAGAGGGTGCAGGAGTTTTCACAGGAGTCAAAGCAGAAGTAGGAACAGAAGAGGCAGCATGAGAAATACGAAAGAGACGACGAATAGTGGCCATAAAAGAATTGGGAGAAATACGATGATAATGATCACAATGATTATGACGACTAACATGGCGAGAGTTATTGGCAGACATCTGAAAAAAAGTTAAGAAGTGTAGAAAAGTCAGTACCTAATCAAAAAAAAAAAAGGGATGATTCTGCTAGCAGAATAATCTAGGGATCCAACTAGATTATAACTTTTAATACTTTTGCAGAAAGAAAATAATAATAATAATAATAATAAATAAAAATTAAAAGGGAACTGGAACAAAAATTAGGTACCTGGGAAGAAAAGATAATATGTTTAAGAATGTTGAGTAGTTATGAACTGAAATAGTTGAGGATATTTGAGATTTTCTTGTTTCTTTAAATATTGAAAATGAAGGATACAAAAGGAGTATTTGACATATAAGTCTTGTATATAGTGTGGCAAGCACGGAAATACTGATTTAAGTGAACATAGTGTATTAGCATGAGAATACTTGCTAAGTATTGTTTATACTTAAATATTCTTATCTTTATTAGGAAATTATAAAGAGTATTGAACAAATAAATCTTGAATATAATATGGCAAGCATGGGAATACTGATCTGTGAGAATATAATATATCAGCACGAGAATACTTGCTAAGTCTTGTCAATACTTAAGTATTTTTACTAGTTCAGAAAAATTGATTATTAAGAGAGATGACTATGAAATTTCCAAATTTAGGTAAATTATTGTTAATCACTTGTGGTACTTATGATATAAGGAGGGGAAAATGTTATGGGGAAAAAGTAAGGGATAAATTATAGGAAATTATAAGGGTAAATATATGTAACAAATCTATAGAACGTCTGACCAAAATCCCGATTTTCTCCTAAAAGTCAGAAGACAACCTCTCAAACGCTTTTAAGAAACTATGGGTATTTTGATGAGAGAAACATCTTTTATTAAGGGCCAAAAAGACATTGTCAACACCGATTTCTCAATAATCAAGGATTTACACTTCCGGCCGAAGAATACTAATAGATGGAATTAAACACACATCGGAAGTCACATGACCACTGCAGATCCCGAAGTTCCGGAGTGACGCGAATACTACGAGCAATCATCGCCCATGGCACATATCGCAATTTTTACTTTTTCGCTCACATCACCCTTTTATGTCTTGTGCCGGTCATGATGTAATCATCATCCGCACCTTGGTATTGACAAACTACCTCACGATTTTATTTCTTATCATAGTGTCCATTTGATATGTATCCTCATCGATTATCGTTTGTACTTTCCATCATTCATTTTTTTTTTGTGTTTCCATGCCGATGTTGCATTACCGGACCACTCTCTTTACTGACACCCCATTGGTTCCCTGTATTCTTTTAATAGTCATCGGTTTATTGATCTTTTTAACACTTTCCCGTCGATCGTATGTAAACGATACACGGCGTCCGATCTGATTTCATGTACATAGAATGGGTCAATCTATTTCTGGTCCAACTTACTGCTCCGCGAATTCTTCTGGGATGCCTTATATACTAATACTTTGTCTCCTATGGTGAAACTTCTTTCAATTCGAAGCTTCTGATTGTGTCGGGTTTTTAACTTTTGTTGGGTAGTATTTATGCGTACCATCGTATCCTTCCGTTGTTGCAGCAGCACCTCCACCAAATCAAATACCCGCTGTAGTATCGTCCCTTCTAGTTGCTTGCTGCTCTCCTGGTAATGAATCGGGGTTCGCGCTTCCCTTTCGTAAACTAGGTAGAACAGCGTCATCTTCGTCATTTTCTGTCGCGCCGTATATACGCAAACAGGGCGGATGGTATCATCATATCCCAATCCACTACATTCTACACTAGTTTTGCAATCGACTCACACAGCATACGGTTGAATTGCTCCACCAATCCGTTGGTTTGTGGATGGTATAGTGTAGAATAGAGATGGTTTATACGAAACTTTTCCAGAAACGCATTCAACAGGTGACTTCTGAAGTTCGCCCCTTGATTTGACAGTAGGTATGTTAGACATCCATGTCTGCATACTATTTTGTCATAAACAAATTCCACCACCTTTTGCGCCATTGCTTCCCCCAGAGCACGAGCCTTAGGCCACTTGATTATATAATCAGTGGCAACTACTATGTAGTGATTCTTCCTGGGGGTCATGGGCAGGGGTCCCACTATGTCGATCCCCACCTTAGCGAACAGTTCTCTGACGGGTATAAGATGGAGGGTCCCTACTGTTTGTTCCTCCCCTCCTCTGATACTGATCGCAGAAATGTACATATGTACGGATGTCTTTGTATAGCTGTAGCCAATAGTACAAGTAGTTTCAGATCTTATTGAACATGATATTCTTCTCTAAGTGCCCTTCCGATGAATGATTATGCGTAAGATATAATATTGGTCCCAACTTATGTCGTCATAGCACCTTTAGTAAGTTCTCCGGCCGGTGCTTGTCCTTCTTATAAATGTCTCCTTTCACCATAAAAAAGTTATTCTGCACCTGTATTCTTCTGGCTTGCTGTTATGAACATCCCGTTGGCAGCCATTGTTCCTGCAGGTATCTTCTCAGCTATAAGTATTGTTCTTCATCTATTGTTTCTAGAGAGTTTTTTTTTTTTTTGCCAGGACACCGGAACCTGGACTGGATACTATCTCTCGGATTTTTATTTATTTATTTAAGTGCTGTGCTAGTTGCTGTCGCGTATTGCTATTGTCGTTGTCATCTTATTCGTTTTTGTCTCTTTTTTCTCTTTTTTTTTGTTATTGCTTCTTGTCCCCTAGTTGTTGCCGTTAGATTTTACAGTGGTACCCTAGTGGATCATGTTTAACGACACTATCCGCGTCATACTGATAAGGTAGGTTTTCGTTTGGCGGTCCAGGTGAGTCAGACTTTTCATCTCGTTTTCCTGACTCCCCACTGATTACGCTATTCCTTCATTCCTCCTGGATGGTTAAATGAAATAATACGTCAGCATTCGAATGCTTCCATCCCGAGCAATGTACTATTGTATATCAGTATGGCTGAAGACGGAGGATCCATCGCACTCTTCTACCTTTTAGCTTGGAAGTTTCCAGCCATTTCAGTGCGGAGTGGTCAATTACTACCACGAATGGCTTCATGCCGAGGTAGTGGTGGAAATATTCAATTCCCCATATCACGGCTAAACATTCTTGCTCTGTCGCGGCATAGTTTCTCTCGGCCTTTGTCAAGCTTCTACTGGCGTATGCGATTGTGTACTCCCTTTTTGCGTCATTAATCTGCGCCAACACAGCTCCCAATTCCATCCCAGATGCATCTGTGTATAAGTAGAAGGTTTTCTCAAAGTTTGGATACTGAAGAATTGGGTTGGTTGTCAGGTGGATTTTCAATCGCTCAAATGTCAATTGTTACTTATCTGTCCACTTATACTGTGCATTCTTTTCGAGCAATTTATGTAACGGTTTGGCGATCGTTACGAATCTGCTAATAAACCTCCAATAGTAGGAGGCAAGTCCAATAAAACTTTGTAGCTGCCTCACGTTTCCTGGTGCTGGAAAGTTTCTTACCTTTACTATCTTGTTCTCGTCTGGTCGAATGCCGTCTCTTTTTACGACATGGCCTAGAAACCCTACGTTTGGTAAGAAAAACCTACATTTCTCTGCATTCAACCTTAACAAGGCCTGTTATAGCTCTTCAAAAACACAGGCCAAATGACTCATGTGTTCCAGAAATGTATACGAGTACACGATGATGTCATCAAGGTACATGGCCACAAATTTGCCAATGTGATTGTAGAGTACCTTGTTCATCAGTCTCTGGAACGTAGCCGGGGCATTACATAGCCCAAATGGCATCACTTGGAATTCATATATCCCAAACTTCGTCACAAAAGCTGCTTTCTCGCGATCTCTCTCCTGGACACGCACTTGCCAGTACCCACTAGCGAGATCGAGGTTCGAGAATCACTTCGCCTGTCCAAGAGCTTCAATTAAATCGTCAATTCTAGATAAGTGGTACGCGTCCTTTTTGATACTGCATTTAACTTCCGATAATTTACACATAGGTGCCATTTACCATTTTTTTTTGGCACCATTATGATTGGAGATGCCCAGGGACTTTATGATTCTAGTATCAGGCCCTGATCTCGCATTTTTGCTAGCTCTCCCTTTACATATTCGTGCTCATCTGGTGTCAACCTATAAGGTGCTTGCTTGATCGGTTTTACATCACCCATGTCAATCTCGTGTTGGATCATGTCGGTCTGGGTAAGTTCATTTAGCTCTTCGGCAAATAATCCCTTTTCCCTCTCGAAGAGTTTTGCCGTGTCATCTCGTTCTTCTTCTGTCAAGTCAATTAGGTCCATCATCGGTTTCTTGTCCATATATTTCTCGTCATCCTCCAACGTTGGTATCTCCTTCAGGATGGTCAGGTATACTGCTAGACTTGGAATCTCTTCATCAATCGTTTCTTCCTCCTCGAACTGTTCCCTTGTATAATACTCTTCCTCCTCTTCTACTTCCTTGCTTTCGTACTCCAACTCATCGAAGGTATCCTCACTCTCGTCATCGCTCGCTCCCGATTCGTCTAGCCGCGTCAACTCTCTATGTCATTGTGTGAGATGGGTACCTTCAGTTCCTTTCCTTGATACTTCAGCAGTATTTTCTGTTTGTCGAAGTGGATCCTG